AGCCAGCATGCTGGCTAGGGAATTCTGGGAGTTGAAGTCCACCCATCTTAAAGTTGCCAAGGTTGAAAAACACCGATCTAAACAGTGCCATATGAGCTCTGAGCAGAAGAGGACCCATCCTTGCAAAGGAGGCATAAAAGTGGTGAGCTGAAATGTGGAATCCAGTCTCTGCCCTTTTCACCTCCCTGCAGACCCGAGAGAGACGCCTCGTGACCCATTTCCAGTACGTGAGCTGGCCTGACTACGGTGTCCCTTCCTCCGCGGCAACGCTCATTGACTTCCTGGGAGCCGTCAAGCAGCAGCAGAGGGTGGCCGTCAGTGCCTTGGGACCACGCTACAAAGGCCACCCGGGCGGGCCGCCCATTGTGGTACATTGCAGTGCTGGTATCGGGAGGACAGGTAACTGGATTGTACGGGGATCCTGCGTGGCGGGTTAGATTTCCAAGAACTACAGAAGCTTTCTCCCATGGGCCCACCCTCTGACTCCCAGCATGCCCCAAGCAGCAAAGCCAGGACTCAGAAATCTGGGAGTTGAAGTTCACACATCTGCTGGAGGCCCAAGTGGGAGAAGACTCCCCACCTGTAAAGCAGGAGTCGTCGAGGTCATTTTCTCTTTCTGTTAATTCTCTGGAATGCCGAAAAGCAACCTTCCCTAACCTGTCACCCTGCAAAGGTGTTGAACTTCAACTCCCCTAAGGCCCTGCTGTCTGGGGATTATGGGACCCAGAAGCCTAATAATTTTACCAAGAAGCCCATGCAGAACATGGAACGGGCTGTTTCAGCGGGTGGCTGATGGTTGATCCTTCCCTTCCCTCTACCCTTTCCCCAGGTACTTTCTGCGCACTGGATATCTGCCTGTCACAGATACAAGACGTGGGTACCCTCAACGTTTATCAGACGGTGGTGCGGATGAGGACACAGCGCGCCTTTAGCATCCAGACCCCCGAGCAGTATTATTTCTGCTACTTGGCCATCATCGAGCACGCACAGAGAGAAAACTTGCTCCCCCACTCCCATCCCAGGATGGGTCTGGAGAAGAGCTAATAACGTCAGAAGGTCTGGAAGCTCACCAAGGTCCAAGCCACAGCAGGAACTATTACGCTGTCAGATCCCTCCCTCCCTCCCTCCCTCCCCTTCTTCTGCCCCTCGCCCTGCTCAACCCCTGGGCTTTGCTGGAGCTTCCAGGTGGACCCAGCCCATTCTCTGCCAGCAAGGTTGGAGGGCATTTTTCTCGGACTAGCTGGCTACGATGAGCCATGATCAGTAGCCACAGACCAGGGAGCCCTTGCAACCACTGCCTTGACTGACCTGTGCCTTATCGAAACAAAGCAAGCCGAGAACGACACAAACCTATGGGCCTGCCTTGCCCTCGAGGTCAGTGGGCTGAAGACCTGACTCTTCCCCGTGGGGGTCTGCCCTACAAGAGGCTGGGATGGAAGAACCACGCAACGCTTCAGTCTTAGCGGCCGCTAAGCCAGCCCGTGTGTTGTCTGTACGTCCGTGCAACGTCCTTCCCTTGCCTGGGGTGTAACCGGGATTCCCATTTATATAGTTGTAGCTGCTTCTAGCCAAGATTCAGTAGCGCCTCGTTCTGAGGGGCCACGTCCAGTGTGACTGCCAAAGTTAGTGGCTCTGTCTGTCTCCCCCCACCCCTTTGCCCAGATCTGCCCCCTCCGTGGTTGGCTGCCGAATTCAAACACGCACACTCACAAGGAGCTTTCACCCAAATGCCTTGAAGGGGGGGCACTCCCTAACAGGATGGCGTTGCCGCAGAAGGGGGCGGCCAAACGGGGGTGGAGAGGGACGGTTAGGGTTAATCAACCTCCTTTGATGGCCCTTTGAGAGGCGACGGAAAAGGGGGTTCGCCCAAGGGCGTCCCTGGACCCCGCAGCGCCGGGGAGGGAGGCGGGAACGGCCAGTGTGTTTGTCCCTAGCCAGGAATGTTAAGCGGCTGGTACGAATATGGCGCCAGAAAAAGGGTCCAAATGAGAGGGGCAGAAGCCCCGCAGGATTGGCGTGCGAGAGGCAGGGGGTTAAGCTGGAACAATTCTCTTCCATGGAGCCTCTTCTTCCAGATGAAGCTGGGGAAGGGAGGAACACTTTGAGGCACCGAGAGACAGAGAAGGCTGTGTGAACGCGGGGCCCCCAACCACCTCCTTTCCTGTTTGTAGCATGTGGGGCCCCCGAGCAGCCGGACGGCAAGGGCCTCCCATCCAGGGGGGCTTGTGGTCTCCTCTCTCTCTCTCTGCTTGCAGAGACGTGACCATGTTTGAGCCAACCTCAGTAACTTTATACTGGAATCAGATCTTTGGAACATGTACATTTCTTATTTTATTTTTTACAACCCCTTCTCTTCTTCTCCCTTTTTGTTTTGTATTTAATCTTAACTTGCTCAAGCCCAAGTTGGAAATAATGGTAAAGGTCCCTGATCGCTGTTCCACAGTGAATTATGG